CGGTCCCGCGCTCCGCCGGGGTGTGCAGGGCAGAGGGGAGAGCACGGCGTGGCAACCCTGCCGCCCCGGTCGTTGGCATCGTTTTCGCCAACTGCCTTTCCTCCCTCCTCGGTGGGGGACTGCGGGCTCAGTTGCATGAGGCGACGCAGCGGGGCTCTGAGGGGAGACGGAGAGGGGTGGGAGTGTGAGGGGGAAGCAAGGATTAAAGAGGAGCAGCTGTTGGGGTTGCGGTAAGGTGGGGAAAGAACAATGTTTAATGAAAGATTTGGGGGAGGGAGCTTGGAGAAATGGCAATTCGGAGTTGAGGTTAGTAGGGGAGGAAAGTAAACACCTATAGGGGCTGGAGGGGGCAGAGGTTACCGTTGGCAAAAGGTAGAGGCAGTCCTCAGCAGAGAAGGAGTCTTAGTGGGTGGTCACACAGAGTGAGTTCTGGAGGGGGAAGCGGAGAAATGGGGACAGTTTGGGGTGTTTTGGAGTTTGCTGGCAGGTTGCTGCAGCAGTGCAGTCTGGAAGTGAGTAAAGATGAACCATAAAGAGCAAAGCAGGGGAAGGTCAAAGCAAGTGTTGTGGTTTTGTTTCCTGAGGAGACAGGAGGATACCTTTGAATTGGTTTATGATTTCAGTCCGCTGGCCTGGTTTCCTCCCACCTCCTCATCTTGTTACTCCTCTGTAACCTGTTGGGTGGAGTTGTGTTGTTGTGATACAGGTAAAGAACCAATTTCTAGTTTTATTCCCATTTGCATCAGCAGCTACTGTCTGTAGATACAGGTATTAGAAAAAGGTAAATTTCCCTCTTTTTAAAAAAAAACCAAACAAACCTGAAATAGTCTTTTCTCTCAATGAGCAACAGATAATGATAAAGCTTCTTCAAGTTTTGCCCTCTCTTTACTCTCCCTTTCTTTTACAGGCTTGCCAAGGCTTCCCTCTGGCTGAAGAATCCTTGCGGTGTGTTGTGTCTCAGTTGAAATTCGATAAGAATATCTTGACCAGTTTTCTGTCTGGAGTGGAGCAAAGACGAGAAGGTAAAAATGAAACTTTTGTGTGGTAATGGTTTCAGCTTGGTAGTCCTGGAATCTGGCTGAAACTGTTGCATGGTCCTGAATCCAGAAAATACATAGGCTTGTGCCTAACTTGAAGCATACCTGCAGAATCTTTTATTCCATCCAACTCCTTAAGCCCTGAAGGTTAAACACAGGCATAAGTACTTGGACAAAAACAGCGGAAGTTTTCTTATGCCGCTAGTATGGGGCCTGTGGATCAGGGAATCAGTGCCTATTGCCATCTAATCTCTGGATTTTCTGCTGTGTTTCTAATTAAGATAGTGGCCGTGCCATTTTTGATCTGTTCATCTAAGAACCTAAAGTGTATTTGCTCCCATCAAACTCAAAAGCAGGTCTGTCACTGAGTTCAGTGGTTACAGGATTGGCCCTGGTTTTTTCCTCTTTTTTCTCTTTGCCCCACCCCCCCTAAAGACTCTCTTTAAAGGGTAAAACCCACAGAAGATGTAGGTCTTCCAGAATCAAACAGAATCAATTAATTTCTCAAGCTCATTTTCAGAAGTAGGGATTTTTTTTTTTCCTTTCCTATTTCCTGCCACAATCTCAGGCTTTCTTTAATACTCTGGAAGTACAGCTGCATAGTGGAGTAAAATTCAAAGGGAAAAAAAAGTGTATGTTTGGGTCTTAAAATAATACACACATTAAACTATATTTAATTGTGCCTTATCAATAGACTGATAAACTTAGGTGTTTGCTGTCGCCATTGATCATGATGCTCTGTAGCAGGCAAAGGCAGTAACTGCTGCTGATGGAAAAGAATAGGTAGTGGAAGGAGGCGGGGAGAAGGAGGTAGGAGACGAGGGATTGGTTCCTTTTAATGTCAATCACAGCTGCGGGCCCCAGCTCTTCCGCTGCTCTAGCTCTGGCTCTCCCTTGAACAGCTCCTGGAGAGAACAAGGCGTGCGGAGTTCGGCTCACCAGCATCATGCTCCTTGGGCTTGGATCGTAGATCCCCTTCTTTGAACATTAAAATAACTCCTTCGTCCATCAGTGTCCCAGGCAGACCCAGCGAGAAAACACGCACGTGAGAGAGAGAGGAAAGAAAGAGGAGGAAGAGAAAAATCTGCAACCAAGTGGACTAAAGCAAAGAGAAAGAGTGCTTTGCTTGCACAGCTGCAAAGTGGGAATTTAAAGAACCGCAGAGAGAGAAATTCCAGCTCATCAGCACATACACATTGCAGAATTACAGATCCAGGTAGAAATGACATCAACAGGGAAAGAAGGCAGCGGAGCTCAACATGCACAATATGTTGGACCCTATCGTTTGGAGAAAACCCTAGGAAAAGGACAGACAGGTTGGTTCTTTTGCAGCAGCACTGGCGCTAGGGGGAAGGTGCTGTAGCAGCCAGTGAGGTGTTGGGGATGGGATATTTGAGGGTCCAGGTTTTCCCATTTGCTGTTTTAGTGGAGATAATATTCACAGGGGATTTTTGCCTTTATTTTTAGTTTTCATTTTAATTCTTTCTTTTCTTCCTTTTTTCTTTAAAAAAAAAAAAAAAAGCCCAGGATGCTTTATGTTCATTACTCCTGCTAATGCTGTAGCAGCCAGTGAGGTGTTGGGGATGGGATATTTGAGGGTCCAGGTTTTCCCATTTGCTGTTTTAGTGGAGATAATATTCACAGGGGATTTTTGCCTTTATTTTTAGTTTTCATTTTAATTCTTTCTTTTCTTCCTTTTTTCTTTAAAAAAAAAAAAAAAAGCCCAGGATGCTTTATGTTCATTACTCCTGCTAATGGGTGTTGTTCTGATGACAGCCAGAGTGCATGCAGAGGAAAAAATAGATGATCTGCTGGTGGTGAATTTTCACATCAATTTCTTCACTGCCCTACTTAGGAGCATTTTCTTTTTAATCAAATTATATTGAAATGAAAGGTTCACAGCCTGTAGTACAGAGGAGGTGGTGGTGGTGGTAGTGGGGGAGTCACCAGCAGTATTTCATGACATCATGATTGAAAAGGGTGTAGTCCTTAAGGTGCAGTTGGGGGGGTGGAAATATGTACAGTATGTCTGTGGCACTGACTGCTGTGGGTATTTAGCAAATATGGATGGATGGGCTGGCGGGGGTTTTACAGAGGCTTGGTAGCAGAATTCATTCTGATTATGCTGTGTTTTTGTAGGAGGGACTGGGGGGGAGGGGAGGTTATTTAATTATTTTTCTTAAAGCTTGTTTATGAAACTCGCCCCCAGCAGATTTTCCTGAATGGAACAATGGTAAGAAATATTAAAAAGAGGAAACCAAGTGGAGGGAATTAGCAGAGAGCAGGTGCTTCTGCCCTACATGACATAATTAGATCCCCTAAATACGTTCAAGATCTGGACTTACTATTGCTTGCTTGGATAGCATATTCACTTCAAGGGCAGGGGAGCATTAATTGGAAGAAAAACCATTAAAAAGAAGCCCAAGTGTCTTCCTTATGTAATTAGCTTTAATTTATTTTTTTTTTTAGTAACAGGTGCAATAAGCAATGGGATCTGGCAAATTCATTGGGTTGGGAGCCCCCCCCCAAAATTGGATTGAAACTCAAGATTATAATTTAGGGAAAGGGGAAGATCAGCCATAGGGGGGCTTCTTTGGGCATGTGGGTGTTAAGTGTTGTTCATTATGGTGGGACAATAAAACATGATGCATTGTGGTGGTGGTGTGTGGTTTTTTTTTTTTTTTTTTTTTTTTATAACCCAGCCTGGCTTTGCCCATCTGTTGTCTAAAGGATTTAATAGGCGTTTCCATTCCCAGCTGCTGCCTCTGCTCTGCCTGCTTCCTCACTGCCCTGCGTGGCAGCAGCTCTGCAGTCCGCAATTTTCTTAGGGACACAGTCAAAATCCAGATCTTTCTCTGTAAGAAGCAGTGCTCTTCTGAGATGATTGATTATAAACACCCTTCACAACCCCATAGCAACCGTTCAGAGATATGGATGAAGATGACATTGTCTTCTAATGAAAGCGACTTTTATTTATATTTCATTTTTCCCAAATCTCTTCAGTGTATCAGCTGCTAAAGGTAGTTCTCTGTCACTGTTTTGGCTACCACCTTTATTCTTTGCGTAGCTCAAAAAGCCCTTACTTCTGCAGCTGTATTCTTGGTAAAATTTGTTCTGATGATGATAATGAAAATAATTACCAAAAAAATGGCAGTGTATTGGTAATAAAACTGCCCTATTTCTGCTGGTAATCCTTTCCTGGATAGTCCAGGTGATCAAAGAGCCAGCTGTAGATGGCAAATTTATTTTTTTCTTCATCACCATTTCCTTTTTTCTCTCTCTCACCTTCTCAGCACCCCTCCCTCCCCTTTAAATACAGTTGTGTCTGAGATTCCTGAAAATACAGCTGCATTAACCTTTTGCTCCATGTCTCATAGCCTGATGTTGTGGCCCTAAAGGGTTATCTGCAGCTTTGGTTATTTTTTTCCTCTCTGCTAATCTTCCTATCTTCCTCCTAAGTGATTAGAGATGTGGGGGTGGAGGGAGAAGAAGAGGAGGTATTGCTGCTGTTGGCCTCTGCAGTTATTCAACCAGCTGGACAAGGGTGAAAGTTTCCTTTTGCAGTTTTACCATATAACTGATCTTCATAGATAAGTCTCTGCTGTTTGCACACATGAATGCACATAAAATGCACAATGCATGGTGTCATAGAAGCTGGAGGTGGGGTGAGGAGGAAGAGAAATCTTAAAAGTAGCTGATGTCAGTCGATGTCTTCCTTGTTATACCCACCCTTGATTAATGGAGTAATGCGCTGAGGTGAAATCTAACTCGGTATTAAACATACATGGCTAAATATGGAAAGATGCCTTCTGGTCTTCTCGCATTTTCTGTGCTAATCACATTTGGGAGCATGCAGAATGGCATGAACAGTGTGTGATACATAGCTGGTCCTCATCCTGCTTGTTTTGGAGGGTAAGCAGGCAACCTGCAGCATTGTAGGGAGGGGACAAGGGCAGTATGAGGGCCTGATTTACCATACTATATTGTCTTGGTGTGTAACTGAGTTTGGGTTGCAGTGGCATACAGCTGAAGAAAATAGTGGTTGTAATCATTCGTTTAGAGCTTGACTTTAAAGTTTGGAAGATTAGGAGGTAATGGCTTGGAATATTCCCCCCCCAAGGGGATGGGGAAGAGTGAGAAATAAAATCTGGCAAAATGTAATGATGAATGGAAAGAAAATGTAAGTTGTGTTGCAAAGTCCTATCCATTTTGCAGTGATCTTCATAGCCATAATTTTATTTTGAATAAAAAATTCTTGACTCTATAGAGTTATTTCAGATGCGCAGGTCTAGCTTTGCTCCCAGATACATTAATACTATACAAATGTATTAATCACTCTTACGTGCTTTTACTGAGATCAAAAGAAGGGGGTTTTGGGAAGGAGCATGGATTCATAGTTCAGGGCAGACTTAGAAAGGGTGCCATGGAGGGAGAACTTAATGGTAAGTAGAACTCTCACTGGCTTTCTCTCCATGAAATTCTCACAGATTGCCACTTCGATAGCTGAAAAAAAGCATTTGCCAACAGCAGCCTACTGGTCCCTGCAAAGAGGTCCAGTTGCTGTATCTGTGGCATTAGTGGAACCTGGTGACATCTGGCTGTGGGTGGGCAAAACTGAAACGGAAAAGCCTTCAGTTCAAACTGGTGGATAACAACTGTTGTTGAAAGTGTTGATTAGAATTCAAAATTGGGTATGTAAAATTTGTCCCGAGCGGCCTTCTGTGCTGGTGCGTCAAGCTTGCTGAGGGTGACTGATGCCACAAAGAGAGGATTAGAGGGCCTCTTAGTCAGAGAAGTTAGAAAAGGGCTACACGGGGCAATGCTGAAAAATATCTGTGCCTAGCTCTTTGCTGGTAGTGGGAATGATAGAGGAACGAGGGAAAATTATTTTTAATAATGTAGCATACAAATTTAAAGTATAATTTGAGTACTGTAGTAAGACAGTTTGCTTTTGTAATAGGTTGAACTCAGAGCACTTGTTTACTGCAGCTGGAAGAATAGCTTATGGAATCTATTTGATTTTTGCAAGAATACAAGAGGCAGCATAATCTTAATAATTATACTCAAAAGAATTATTTTACAGAACTGTCACTGTAAAAGATCATTACTATATATATACGGGTGTGTGGGGAAAGGTTGGTTTATTGAAGTTTCATTGATACATTCTTCTACAGTTAATTATAGGAGGTTTTTGTTGTAATTAAAAGTAATGAGCAAAGGATGTGTGTCATGTTACAGTAACACATGTGGAAACAGCGTGCCTTGAGAAATCCCAGTCATACCTGATCATGAAGCACTGTTTTAGTTTTAGATCAAACAGAGGCTTTTCTCCATTTGCCACTAGTATTGTGTGAAATCAGTTTCTTGTGTATTCCTTGCTTTATTTTTTTTTTTTAAATTCCACAAATGCCTCTGTTCATGTGTTTCTTTTGGCCTTATTAACCCCTGTTTCACCCTTGAAACTCTTAAGAATAATTCAGATTGACTGTAGTGAGTATTTATTAATGAGTGCCAAGATGAGGAACTGAAGTATTTCTTGTGAAGGTCTTCAGCGTTTCGGGGGGTTTTCTTGTGTTTTCATTTGACAGTCACTGTTTAGGCTTCAGCATCATTGTTTGCTATGGCACCAATTCAATGTCTAGCTGAAATTTCCAAAATGCTGCTTTGTCTACAAGCAGTAAGACATCGGTGCTAAGTGGGAGTTACCCTATTCACTTTGAGAGAAACTTGATGAAAAATTTAATGTTGCTGATCCATTTTGTCTTGTTCCTTTCTGTTTTAAGCTCGGTTCTGCAGACATTCAATATAAAGAATCACTCATGGCACTTTTACCTTCGCAAAAAGTGTAGGGGGTCTCTTTTCTGCATTGTATACCATACAACTTACAGTTATTTTGGTGTATAACATGTTAATTTTATATGAGCCATCAGTGAGGTGTTCAGCAGTATGCTATTGGGCTATGTAAGAACAGAAATCATTAAATTTGGATCTTAGTGAATTTAATAGCCCTTTATTCAGTGAGAGCTTAAACAGGATGTTTCTTTACGGCCTTAACCACCTGTTTCCGTGACACTGGCAGAAACTGAAATTTGTTAATTTTTTTATTTGTCTCTGTCAAATTTGGTTGAAATTGGAAGCTTCAGATCTATTCGAGGAGTATTCGGTAGAAAATGTGATCTCAGAAGCCTGGTTTCCTTAGGTAAGTAGGCTAAACAAAGTATATCCTTTTCATTCATATGGCTATAATTATTTTTTTTTTCTGACCCAGTGTGTTGGATGTAGAGAGAATCTACAGAGTACAGCTTTATTCTGTTTA